AGTGCTCGGGACAGACCACCACCTCTTCCCTCCCTCCAGAGGGCCGCCCACTGCCCTTTTGACGGGTCAGGTGGGAGGCTCAGGAAGCTGCTCCTGGTTTGCTCCCCAGGGCTTTCTTGCCCACCTGCTCTCACTTTGCAGGCAAACAAGTTCCGAGTTACCATTGTGGGGCTCTGCAAGGGGCTTTTTGAAAGGGGTTCTCTTCTTTCCCCCCCTTTTTCCCGGTGCCTCACTGAGCTGTTTCTAGTGCCTGGTGACATGGATTAAACTTGCAATAGCAAAAAAACACCCGAGCAAGAACACCTTGCTGCTCCAGGGAGCTGAAGCAGCTCAATGAGAGGTGTACCATGCACCAGAGCTGGGTGTGAAGGTGAGCCACCCTGCCTGCTGGATACCAGCCATGCTGGCATGCTGAGACCCCCTGTTAAAGAGGAATGGGGTTACATGGAGGGGCTTCACTTGTACTGGGATCCAGACCCTCTCCAAACAGAGGTGAGCCCTAACTTGCTCTGCTCCCTCTTTTTTCTCTGTAGGTACAACAGCCCCCATTGCTCAAACACTGAAGGATTTGCTGAGAGCTCTGAAGGGCCTGGTGATGTCCTCTCAGCTGGAGCTGATGGCCAGCAGCTTGTCCCCAACAACAATGCTGTCCCTGAGTTGTGGAATGCCAAGGTATGTGTCCCAGCCGGCCCAGCTGCTGGCAGGAGCTCACCCCAACCACAGGAAGGGGTCATCAACCACCACAGCTGGACTGGGCATTCTCACATGGAGCTGGCTCCTGCTCCCCTGGCAGGGAGACATCTACTGCCTAGTGCAGCTTGTGATTGTCCCCAGCCCCAGGCTGGATGAATTCCTGGGCTCTGGGCAACTGTCAGCAGCTGGGGCACAAGGTCCTGTTCCCCCAGGGCTCCCACAGGCACCCTGCTGCGCTTCAGCTGGCGACAGCGTGCCCAGGGAGCTTAACACAGAGGTGGGCATCATCTGGCTGTGTCCTGTCCCCAGCCACCAGCACCTACCTGTGCCCCATCTACAGGACTCACTCGTGCTGATAGGTGCCCCAAAGGCAGGGTTCCAGAAGTGAGAGTGTAGAAGCAGCTAGGAAGGGCAGCCAGGAGATGCTGCAGGAGTTCCTCAGGCCACACACTGGCATGGGGTGAAGCAGTTGGTTGACACTGTCCAAGGAGAAAAAGGTTTCTCCTGCTGTGGTTGTGGAGATGGAGCAGCCAGGCAATAGCTGCACTGGCCAGGCTCTCCTCAAGAGCACACCTGAAAATACCCAGGCCTGTTTCCACAGCACCTAGCACGGGGATGGGACAAGGCGTCTCTCATGGGGTCACTCATGCAGGACTCCCCAGTCAGCATGTGACAGCCTGGGCTGCAGTACCAGCCTCCAGCCCCTGCTTCCCCCCTTACAGGCACACTGTCAACAGACCACTCCACCAACTATGTGATTACAGTGGAGATCTGTGCCCTGGACTTCTAGTCAGCCCAGGAACTCATCTCAGCTGAGGGCCTGAGCCAGAGCAGGCAGCTGCTCCCCCTCTCCTGCCCCTGAACTGTGTCAATAAATTGAGTTTGACAGCACCATCATCACATTCACCTGGTGCTGTTACAGTCCCCACAGTGACCTCCCATTTTTAGCACCAGAAAAGAGCTGGCAGTAGGGATAACATGACCCCTTGGTACTACTCCCTGCTCCACCCCCCCCCCCCTCCCTTCCCACACACCTCTCCCTCCCTGCCCACACACCTCTCCCTTGGATGGCTGGTACAGAATAGCTTTATTCTTTCAGACAGACCCATTATTTACAGTACTTGATATTGGACACAGCAAAAGACAGAAGGATTTTCTCCCCTTCAACAAATACAAAAAAAAGTTCCATTACATAATCGATATCTGTACAAATTTGCACATTTGCAAAATTCAGTCCTTTCCTGTGTCGGCTCCCCTTGTCCCCTCAGGAGCCAACCTCTGGCTTCTGAGATTTCTGCTGGGCCACTGGGGACACGCAGAAGACATTGGCTGGTGGAGGTGGCAGGGGAGAGGCAGGCAGGTCCACCTCTCCTCACACTTTGCCAGGGGCACCAAGTGACTCCACATCCAATGTCCAGGCTGTGCCCAGCAGCAGTGAACCCTGCTCACAATTCATGGGGTTTCTCTGGGAACCAGAGCAAACCTGCATGACCCAGAGGCACTGCCAGGGCCACACGGCTGGTCCCTAGGGAGGCAGCAAAGCCACTCACCACCCCCAGCACCACCACAGAGGCCTGGGCACACAGCTCAGCTTTAAGTTCCTCTTCCTATTCCCCTTTTCTCTTCCCTTGGAAGGGTGGAGCGGGGGCAATAGGGAGAAATCCTGACCTGTGGTTTGTGTTTCACCGTGACTATTAAACCAGAACAGTGGGTCAGAAACAAACATAACTTTGGGGGACAGAGATAGAAAACACAAAGGTCCTGGACAAGTACTGAGCTGGAGGCCTGGATGCAGGAGGACACAAGCCCCAGCCAGCTGTGGCCAGCACAGCCTTGTGTTGGCATCGCTGGTGATCCCGCAATGCCAGACCTGTCCCCAGCTGGGTGGCTCTTCCCCTCCTGCCACAGTCTTCAGCCACAGCACCAAGACACAGGCCCACAGCATCCAGGTGCTGCCACGGCACAGTAAGGCAGCCGGGCACTCTGACTTGCCTTCAGCTGCAGGCACTGCCCTCAGGACAACATGTCCTCACCTGTCACAACTTGGGCTCAGAGAAAAGCCCAATTTCTTTTTGTCCACAGGCTCCACCTTGGCCGAGGGCTTGTTGCTGTGGTCCCCCTTCCTTGGGCAAAGGGTATCATAGATCCAAATGCCCCTGCCCAGTGCCACAAAATCCAGCTGCTTCTCCTCACAGTCTCGACCCCCAGGCTACTGACGCTTGGCTTTGTAGGGGCGGGAGCGTTTCCGGCGGTCTGGCTTCCTCTGCTTGTGCAGGCGGCCGATGCTGACTCCCTGCCGCCTGCGGACTGAGATGTTCTGCTCCACCAGGCTGGCCAGCATGCCTGCAGGGGGAGAGCAGGCACACATGCCCCACACTGGAGTGTTGGTACTGCCCCTGCCAGAGTGCAGCCCTCCCTCTCTCAAAACCCATCAGTGGACTCCTCCTGGGAGTCGGAAATCAGCAGGACACAGATGTGTGGCTCCCCAGACAGGGCACTGCCCTGTGCCCCAGGCTTGGCAGAAGCAAAGAGCAGGGTTGGGTGGCCTTCCCTAGCTCCCCCAGCTAAATCTAAACTCCACACTGTCCCCTTGGCCCCACAGTATGGCTCACCTTCCTGGGCCAGCATGGAGATGAAGGTACAGATGAACTCGTCGTAATTGTGGGTTCTCCTCTGGTCATCGATCTACAAAGAGATGACAAATCCACAAAACAATCCACAAACTGGTGACAGGCAGAAAGGAGAGCTCAAGGCTCAACGGGGGGGCAAAGAACTGGCATGCCTGTTCAAGGAGACCAGAGCAGGAAGGGACCCTGCTCCAAAGCCAGTGCAGAATTGGGACAGTCTCCATCCCAATTCAGATGCCAGCATTTCCCACAAGGGGCAGCTGGGAAGAAGTGAGAGTGGGCAGGACAGGAATCCTGCCAGGCCTTCGGGCAGAGGCTGCCCCCTTCCTCCTGGAAGTGCTGCAGCACTCCACTATCATCACCCAGCTCCTTAGTGCTGCTCTAGAGGTTCCATCTCTCCTGGTAGGAACTCTGCCCCATAGGGCCGTTTGGTAACCGAAAGGGACCCATGGCCATTCCCAGCTGACCTACCCTCCCTCCACTTCGACATAAAGGCACCCTAGACAGAAGCCTTTCAGGGAGTTAAATTGGAAACACGAAGTCCTCAACAAACACACCTTGAATTTCTTCCTCTTCTCCACCTCTTCCTTCAGGCAGGCCTCGTAGTTCGCAATCTCTGCCTCCACGCACTTCAGCAGCGCCAGCAGCTCCTGCCAGGATAAAGAGCAGAGCAAACGTGAGCAGATGGACCACTGTGCCACAGCCCAGGAGCTAGCAGGGTGAGCTGGTGGGTGTTCTTTTCTGCACTGGGAAAGGGAAGATTCATCAAAGCAAAAACACTTGTCGGGGGGGACAAAAAAGTTAATTGTAGAGAATTTCAGAGTTAGAGGGTGATGAATCAGCTGGCAGTACAGCTATGCCCAAGGTCTCTGGGACAGGGTGAAGAGTTGTGTACATGCCTGAGGAATACCCAGGCCCTGGTTCTTCTCAATAATCTGATTTGAAGACTTTACTTTTGATGAAAAGAGTTTCTAGCCAGCTCTCCTCCAGAAGCCCTTGATGCATTTGTGCTGCCTGAGCCTGTCCTGCCTCTGGCTGAGGGCACACACAGTGAAGTTACCAGCAGGCCAGGATTGGGAGTGTGGGGTCCCACCAGCCCCTGGCCCAAAGGAGAGCACAGCACACCTGATGTGGCAACTGTGGGAGGCAGCAGCTCTTCCCACTGCCATGGCAAATGTCCCCAAGACGACGCAAGGCACAAAACCTACAGTGCCCTGTGCGGGAGGCACAGCTGCGGCGACACGCGAGTGGGACAGCGTGCACATGCGGATCAGTCACTGCCAGCGCTGCTGCGTCTCTGGGTGAGCCCAGGGAGCTCCACGTTCCCAGGGCTGTCACAGCACAAAACTCACCTTGGGAGAATACTTTTCCCCCCCAGGGTGATCACTGGTCCTGCCAAGTCCCACCTTCTCTTTGCTGTCACTGCCCTCACTGCCCTCCTTCTCCTCCAGTTTGATTGCGACCGGGGCCTCTTCACCAGGTTTGATGGAAGAGGTGGAGCTTTTCCCCCCATCTGCACACAGGGGAAGGAAGCATAAGGAGCCATTTCCAAGGACCAGTATCCACTCCCAAAGTCAAAGGACACCACCCTGTCACCACAGGAGAGATGCCACCCCCCCCAAAAGCCAGCAGGCACCTACCTGCAACAGCCAGTGGGCAGAACACACCATCCTCGGTGAGGTGCAGCAGCCCAGTGCTGATGATGGGCCCCAGGTCCCGGACAGCCCGGTTGTAGCGCATGCAGTCGACACGCAGCAGCCCATCCTCCTCCCCAAAGAGCACCTTGGAGATGTGGGAGGTGACGGGGCTGGAGGGGCGGGTGGGGTTGGCCGAGCGGATGGGAGAGCGCAGCGGGGAGTTGAAGGCGCTGCCGATCTCGGAGGCGGGGTCTGTGCTCTCGTTGCTGGGGGGGGGGGAG